GCACGAAGGATGTTCACATATTTCGTGGGAACACCTTTCCGCGCAAGTAATTCAAACAGAATCTATCGATCGACTGAATCGAACGCACTCTTGAAATCGAGGAACACAACTATTGTCGGTCTGCGGTATGCGTGGCGCTGCTCTAGCACCTGCCGCAGAATAAAGATATGGTCTATACAGCCACGTCCTGGGCGGAAACCGGCCTGCTCTTCCCTAATCCGAGATTCCCGTTCTGCAGTGAGGCGAAGAATGATAATCGAGGCCAGTAATTTTGTCACAACTGACGTTAGGCTAATACCCCTGTGGTTCGCACAGTCTGTGCGACTGCCCTTTTTATATTGCCACTATAATCGATTCGCTTTAATTAGCCGGCACACTCTTCCTTCCAGATACGTCCGAATAGGGAGGTCGGTGCCCTGCAGAGGACCTCACCTCCATCCTTAAATAGTGCAGGTGGGAGGGAATCCGGGCCAGCTGCACGAAAACGATTGAGGGCTGTGATCGCGTTTCGGACCTCGGACTCCGACGGAGACTCTAAACTAACCGTCCATGGCACGTCCTGCATCACCTGAGTAGGAAGAGGTCCGGGAGCAGGGGGCCAGCTGAATTGATCTTTAAAGTGTTCAGCCCAACCCGCCATACGGCGCTCCTTATTGTGTATCAGCGCACCCGAGCTGTCTCTGATTGTCTCACTGACGGCTGGTTTCCTGGGACCAGTGGTGCGTATTAGCTGGAAGAGCTTCCGGTAATTGCCTACTGCTCCTGCCTCCTCCATTTCTTGAGCCCGACTGGTCCACCAGCCTTCCTTGTCAGCATGTAGGCCCCGCTTTAGTTCACGCCTAATAGCCGTTTGGTCACATTGTGTTCAGAACCAGCCGGGAGGTGTCTTCTAGCTTCCAACAGGTTTACGGACCTCTCGGATATCCAGTGACTGGTGCGGTGACAACTGATAATGCCACAAACAGATGCTCCTGCGTCGTGCATAGCAGCCGAGATCCTATTCCACTGAAGTTCAGTGTCATTAGGACAAGACAGCGAGAGTTCGCTATGCAGTGCTTCTTGATAGGCTTGCCTGACCGAGGGCTGGGACAATTTCTCCGTTGCCAATCGGAGGAGACGCTTTGTGCGCCTTCCGGTAAAGTTCATGGAGAAACGACAGTGCACCAAGGCATGACCAGAGTCGATACAGGTACTCCAGTACGAGCGGCAATCCAGAATGGAACCGCGCCACCTGTAACTTATGGCTATGTGGTCAATTTGGGTCAATCGCTGGCCAGCTACAGGAGGACGCCAAGTGGCACTTCGGCGCCCACTGTGTCTAAATGCAGTGCTAGTAAGAAACAACTGGTGCTCCGCACACAGTTGCAGCAGACGCTCGCCGTTGTCAGTCCGTTCGGAGTTAAGTCCATAATTACCACCCAGCCGAGCTTCTGAAGAGCTCAGACGCCCTATTTGTGCGTTCATATCTCCCGCAAGTACTATAATACCTGAACTAGTAGCATTACGTAGTAGCTCGCTCAGTTCGTGATAGAAAGTGTCCTTGACTGCATTAGAGCTGCAGTCGGTGGGAGCATAAGCGAAAATCACAAACAAACAGCGTTTTGTAATAATTCGTGAATCAACCTTAGCTGATGTCGTCAAACGGGCTGCACATAAACGGCTGTTCACCGGAATCTAATCAACTAATGATGACTCAGTCTTGGAGCTAAGAATGATACCTACACCAGCTTGACCCGTGAGTGCCGCATCGGCGTCTCCGGATGCGTGCAACCAATAACGAGAGGATAAGCCGGGTGAAGTCAATTCAATAACCCCATTAGGGTCATTAATCCTAGCTTCGGACACACAACACGCATCAACACCCAGTGTGTTCAAGGTGCGTGCGAGTGCAGCCTGCTGACCTGTTTGTCTTAGAGTGCGGACGTTGAATGTCGCCATGGAAACGGGACAGCGTGGCCCTATAAGGGACTTTTGGCGATAGGCGTCCGATAGGTGCTGTGGGATGGTGGTTGCAGATGGCACTACTCCAGTAACACTTCGGTTGCTTTCAATTAAGCTGGGAATTATAGAAGGAAGGTTAGTAATGGGGGCCGGGGTGGGAGTAAGAGAAATAGGTGGAAAAGAAAGAAGGGAGGCGCCAGCAGTAACATGTTTTCGCTTATCCGCCCTGCTGTATGCAGCAGATAAGGCGACCCTTGATAATCTGCGCAACGTCCGACGCAGGATGAAGTTTATGTTTGAAGAAAATGTCATGGTTGTATGTGGGCTGAGATACTGCCAGGGCGCCCAGACCTAGACAGGAGGACGATTAGGGTCCTCATCCTAAGCCTTTGGCTCAAAAGCCTGTCCCCAAGGCAGCGGGGTGGCAGTGATTTAGTTTTACAGAAATGGATGCCATCCCATTTCAAACCCCCAACCTAGAGGACCAGGAGACTGAGTTTCTCTGACCTCTCTCTATTGACCAACCTGGTAAGAGTAGCTCTCAAGATGCTCGGAGGCATCACCCAGTATAGCTCAATGGGTCAATGAGGTACGCAAACCGTCGCACCACGTTAAGGTCCAGTCTCGTTGCGACCGTGCACCTCAGATCAGTTCCAACCGAATGGTACACTAGCTTATGCGGTCCCGCAAAGCTTTCTAACGCACCTGGTCATACTATGGACAAGCCGACTTCAAATATGGCGGATACAGCGTGCAAAGAGCCAACCAAATAGCCACGCGCACTGGGATTGAGCTATTCGTATGCAACGACGTTGAACCGAGAGGCATCCAAGATCATGTACACGTTAACGGAATGGCTTGCATCAACCAGTCAAGAGGTGCTGCGTCGAATGCTGCCAAAAAGATAAGAGTATGTATTTTAATTTCTTGCCGGTAAAATATCAGAACAGGAATATAATTTTCTAACTTCATTAAGGTTGTTAATTACAAGGGAGCTTAGCTCTTATCACGCGGAGTGCGCACCGGGGCAGAACCATATATCGATACTTTTACCTAGTATGTGTGACCATTTACTAGCCAATGTTGCACTTCAAGAGACGCAGAAGTACTGTAGACTAAAGGCGACGGTTGGAATAAATGGTGTACGTCAAAATGCACTGGTAGATGATCAACATGCTTTTGACCTCCAAGGCTGGGCAGTCTGTTAAGATATAGCCACCATTAGATTTGTATGTCAATCAGTATGTCAATACCATCAGTGACCCAGGTGCACATGAACCAGCCTCATAGTCTACTCCAGAGACGGATTCCCACATGTCATTTGCCATGATAAGGGCCATGCGACCATATTTCATCTTTGCTGACCACCAGCATTCCTTAGTGAGAACTACAAGATTGAATGGCGGGAGTTATTTGCAAGCAATCAGCGCTTTAATCATGTCCGCTTGTCCACCAAATACCAAGCTGTGGTACCCGAATTCATACGTTGAACTATTTCGTATCATCATACATTAAAATACACTAACGGATTTCGTTAAAGTTTCCAGTTAGCATTTGTTGGTTATACCATTAATCATATTTAGGTGAAGTTTGCCGACAGGTTAACTGACCTGATCACTCCTTGCTACGAAAGTTAGTCCTCTTTGTTCTGTAACAGCTTCGCTATGGTTTTGGGGCAGCGCTGCAAGTGGAAGTTAGAAGGTCGGATTCGGGGCTTATTATCCAATAAACTTAGGTGGACCGCAGTGTTTCACAAGTATCAGTACTGGGGCGACGTTTCTCGTTGATCTTCGCCTCGCACGTGCCATCGATCTACCATTTTAACTTTCTCCTAATGGCATCAATAGATGGCGGATGATCGGTCATCTGGAACAACACAGTCCACTACAACGGGAACTGGACTGTGCACGTGCGTGATCAAAGTCAATTGTGTCACCGCCTAAAACGGAATAGTGCAAGCGTGATTACCGATTGACACATACAGGCTGGGAGAACACATCTTGAACACCGCCTCACAGAAGTGAAACCACTGTGTACTAATTCAAAATTACCTCATCTGTTCGAATTAATAAGCTAAAGTGTCAAAACCATGAGCCAACATGTTGGTCTGTTACGGATGTCGTTCATACAGTCCACCATCCCACATCATCTTACAATGCTCAGTGTGTGCATGAGTCCGCAAGTTCAGTAAGAATTTCAGGTATGGTAACTCTAGCTAAAACCTCGCAGCGAAGAGCAACTAAAACAGAAACCATTATTTCCACTTTTTATAGCAAATGTGACTGAAAGCAATATTAGTATGAAGCGGAACTTACCGCCACTTAAGAGTGCCCTCATGCCGCCCTATCAGCTTTTGAAAACCGCAGTCATCTTTTCCGTCACCACGGGACCATTGGTCATAAAAACTATGGGGTCTTCAGCTGACGCTGACCGAAAAAGCAGTCAGTTGGAATGTTGTAATAACTTCCTCTAAATCGATTTTCTCAGTTTTGAGACAAAAATCCGACTTGTGTCAATTTCGTGTCCATGTTAAAGATTGCTAAAAAAAACTACCTGAATATGCCCCGTCCCGTATGCACCACGTGACATAGCTCGTTCCTTCTTTGCCGAAAAAACGCAAATCAACTGTGTGCTCACCAGCACGCCTCCACGAAATTCATGTAGCCGGTTAGTCTATGTGCCAACATAAATAATACGCCGAGCCCACAGATGCACAGTTTAGTAAACTGGCAAATTTTAGTTGTACTGGCCAAGTTCACATAAACGGTCCTATGGTCTTGTCGACATTTGACATGTTCCATTGATTTGTTATTTCTTTATAGTTGCTATGAGATAAAGGCTCATGGTTGTCCAGACATACTGTTACTTAGCTAGACATACGTGCTCTCCATTGACATTGGCTGTTTAGTGAACAACCGATAACGTTGGAAGGGAGATGTCGCTGTGTTACAATCCATACATATCACTAATGGCGTAGGTGTAGTCAGCCGATGTCAAGGTCGAGTTGTGAAAGAAATAAAACAAGCGACTGCTTTCCTTCCTTCTCAAGGTGAAGAAATATGAACATGGAACACTTATGGGCAACTCTTGCAGTACTTATGATAGCCAACCTAATTCTCTGTATGTCGGAGGAGCATGCACGTGAGTCACCTAGGCTGTGTTTAGCCATCTCTACGTTTCTCTTTTGAAGTATTTATATCGAGAAAATTGAAAGGCGGAAAATTTTACTTTTAATCAGCAAGCACATCGATTTACGGCTATCAACAATGGTATTTAACCGTGCAGTAACAACTCCAACTATCTAAATAAGACTTGTTTGTGTGCAAGGTTGAAAGCCTGTTACTTTTATCGTAGAACTTAACAAACCTGTAGGGGAATGTGAGACAAGAAATAAGTAAAAGGAACTACCGTTTTTCGCTACTGCACAAGTCAAGGTTTCTTACCTGAAATATCGCGTAACCCTGTCACAGATATTCCTGAGATAAACTTAGATGGGTTAGGGGGAAGTGATAACTATAAACACGAATACATGCGTTGCACAGTTGACTATATTTGACCAAATTGTGTTCATCTATTGTTCTCATACACGGCGTCCTTCAAATTCGGTCACAGCTTGTCACGCGAATGAGCCGTTTATGCATTTCAAGCCATGTGACCACGAATTTTCTCGCGTTTCGATAGTCGAAACTTTGATTGGTAATATCAACCACTTGACAGCCAACCGTGCAGTTCCGAAGCTCGGCTTAACTCTAGTGTGCTGCAACTGTTTTGCTTTCCCATGTGGTAAAATTAGAACATACAACAGAACTCACCTTTTCGTAATCCTCACAAGTGTCTATCGCATTCATAAGTTAAAATAACCAGCTCACGCTGTCTGCGTAGTATAAGCCTGTTTGGCTTTGTACACATAATGTACACTGGTGTATTGTATGCACTACACAACGCGCAGTTTCACATTGCACAGGCTGGCCATAAGATTACATGAGACATAAACAAACGGGGAACTGTGAACTGCCCATATCGAACATGTCTGTGTCTGTGCACTCTGAAGAATATTCCGCAAAATTCTTTCCACCGAGGTTGCCGTTATTTACACCACAACCGTCAATATTATATTCCTGGCTTAGGTAAATGTTACCGCAGTCATCTGCTGATTCATGTGGCCTGAAGAAGCTTTGTGTTGCTAGGCTAACCTTTGCTTACCGAATATAACGACAGATTAAAAAGTAAACGATGCCAACCCGAGAACACTGCACTCTAAGACCGGGTTTGAACTTATTTGCCCTCAACGGGTAGAGACAACATGCTCGGGATCCAAGTGCGATTGGGATGTCCTACGAAGCTTCTTCCGTAGTACACCGAAACGCGGCGCGAACGCTTCCGTCCTCAAGAAGTTATGATATCTTCACTCCTCCATCGGTTATTAACTTTGACTTGACGTTAAAATGGACGGTAGATAGTAGGCCATTACACCTCCAAAGCAACGCTTGAACAGTCCTTGGAACTTCGTCGTTGGACTTTGCAATCACCAACGTGTACTTCGACTGAAGCATGTAATTTGAATTAGACCATCGGTTCACAGTATAAAAATACTCGTCCAACGCTATAGCTGCGATTGCACGTCACTAACTATCCACAAGATAGCTACCTCGAAACCCAAGAGTAAGCCGGTGGCCGAACAATCTGCACACTAGGTTTGCAACCACAATGTCCCCGGTTCGAATCCGCATCACTGTAGGCGCCCTCGCGGTATACTCAGCCCGCTTTCGACTGATGGTGGTCGTGCGGGAGCAAAGAGCAGTTACGGCGTACAGCAGCCACATAATTACTGTAAGTAACAATACTATAATTATTAAGTTAAGCGATTTAAATCCTTACGAAAGAACGGGGCAAATTGTTCCTTAGAAACTAACCCGTGAACTCAGTATTTAATTATTGTTTTTGTGTTGCAGATGGAAGGGCAGATCTAACCTGCAACGAAATCCACAACGGCACAAACGAGGGAACAATTCACAACCCGATGTACCCGGACAATGATCATGGTACCAAATTCTGCAATTATCAGATTACGGTTCCCTCCAACAATCAAGTTGCTCTGAGCTTCCCTGAGCTTAAAGTAAGTATAGTTGGCTGGTTTGTCCATGACGAAAATGTATGACACTCCCATCATAATACCCAGAGTAAGCTCCCTAAAATTTGTTCAGCGTAGCCGGTGAGATGGTTTATTTTGTTGCGATCGATGGTGAAGTGTGCGACTGCTTACTATTTAACAGAACAACTCACATATTTAATACGAAATAAGTGATGTGAATCTTAAGCAAAGTGAAGCTGTCATTCGTTGATTTCTCTTCTAGTTTGTGCATTCCGACTCGGCAATCTTTTTGTTCGACGGCCCCGATTGCATGTCCCGACGAATCGGACACGTGTGGTACCTGAAAGATAATCCACTCATTTCTTCTGGAAACAGTATCACAGCATTGCTGACTGTTCAAAATGGAGCTGAGGTTTGGGGATTCAAAGGAAATTATTCTACAGGTACGTTGTACCTAATCCACATTGTATATTCTGGTACTAGGCCGAAAACATTGCTAGGTGATTACAGACTGTTTAGGTCACTGATAAAAGAATCCATTAAACTCCTTCGAGTTTCGCAGAATTCCTAACAAGTTTATTCGCTATAATTAACAACATTATGGTTTATTTAAAGTTCATTTGTTGATTTCGATTACTCAAAGTGGCGTGAATGCTAAGCACTTTTGTATTACCAGGGCATTTGATCAATGAGCAATCTTTTATGCTGTGTAAAAAGCGTTTGCTTGACAAGTGCAGCAGAATAGTGCAAGTAGGTTTACAATGTCAAACGATGTGTGCTTTGTCTGTTTGAGTGTTTTTAACTAGCATATGCGTTGCTTGATAATAGCAGTGTACCTGGGAATTGAATGCGAACGACGAGGAAAGATGAGGACGGTAATATTTCATGTACTCCGTGAGGAAAATAATAACGACAATACTAACATATGTACAGCCTTTTCAGGCTAATGTGAAATTTTAATCCGGCTTGATGGGATAATCATTATATTCTAAACTAGCGTAGTATAGGCGACGAAGTGATTGGGGCCAGGGGCAAGTCCCAATCGTTTCTTGAAATCTCCCAAGTTGTGGGAGGAGACAATAATTTTTGGGAGAAAGTTCAAGGGTTTGAAAACCCGAAGAGGAAAATAGTTCCCCCGGCATTCCAGGCGGTTACACTGTGTACATAATAAAATACGGTTACTTCTGAGATTTGTGTTATGGCTGCGTTTCAGCAAGTGACAGCATATGTGATTAGGCTCACTCAATATTCGGCAGACTAACATGAGATCGCCGAGCAGCCTTCGGTAGCGGCCACTGAAAACTCCCAGTGAATTCAGCCTTTGCTTGTAGGACAGATTTCGTAGGCCCTTGACGTTATTTGTGGTGCTGCGTAGTGGTTTCTCAGATACTACTAAATCGCGCTTCAACCAAAGTAGCCAAGCTTGCATGACGTATTTAACGTGAGGGCGCACATGAGCATTGTGCATCAAGAGTAAGATGGATTGGTCGCATCTTGCGAATATTGTTCGCAACAAGCCGACGTGTTGGTTGGCTCTTTTGGCAGCTGCCTCTAGCTGTCTTGAACAGTTAAGGTCACTTTGAATGAGCATGCGAAGATCGTGTTCTTGGGATGTTGTTTGTAATACATGTGACCCAAGTCTATAAACGGAGTCATACCTAAGTTGAAATGGAACAGGATGACATTTTTCACGTTTAACACTATTGTATTCAGAACTAACCAGTTAAAAGTCGTGTTGAGGTCAAACTGGAGCCTCCGTAGTCGTTCGATTCTCTGCTCGCTCGCCATAACTCGATATCATCCACGGAGAACAGGAAACCGGAAGTAATTTTCCTTGCCAGATCGCCTATGAAACACAAAAATAGCTGGTGCCCGAGCACCAAGCCTCGTGGTACGCCGCACTATAAATTGCGTCGGACTGGGATTATCTTACTCTCAAATCCAACCGAGTTTCGTGCAGGAATTTGTCTATCTAACGCAGCAGTGGGCCACAAGTGCCGTAGAGCTCTAGTTTATGAAGGAGAATTTGCTGGTCTAAGTGATAGCATGTTTTTGAGAAGTGTAAGTAAAGGCACTGACTCCTGCTCCACATCAACTGCTTCAGTCCAGCTATTGCGTGCAATTAGCAGGTTGGTAGTGCTTGAGCGTTTCTTCGGAAGCCATGGAAAGTCCCTTGAAGTAGCGCTATCTAATGGTAATTTTTTGTGTCAGCGCAACTACCTACCTTATGAAAAAGAGGGATATAACCTCTCTTCCATACTGCTAGGATATGGTTCTGCTCCATACAGTGCTGATAGAGTATAGGCAATTTTTCACCGGGTCCTTAGCTGCTCCCTGTACAGCCTTCGGTCGATTTGTATGGACAACATACGTGCTGTGGATACTTAGAGACAACAGTTTCTTTAGCAGCGTCTCTATAGTAAATATCATGTTGGATAAAGCTGATGGTGAGATACTAGAAAAAGGGAAATCTGTTGGACCCGTTACTCTCTGGAATGTTGGTGGTTTATGGAACAGTAAGAGGTCGTTTGCTTCCTTTGCCGATCGCGTGCACGCTCCACGTCAGCACGGGCCATACTAGGCAGTCCGCTGTATTTGACAATAAGTTTTAACGAACGTAAAAATCATGTGTAGCGCATTATGAATAATTCAGGCTGAAATACTGGGTGGGATACGGTAAAGTCAGCGAGGCTAAAAGTAAGCTGTTGCAAACTTAAAAATTAAATCGCGCAGAACCGAAGACATGTTAATTTTGTAGGCATAAAGCGATATCTACCTAACTTTGCGAAACAGATCAGAAACCTGAGTAGATAAAATTAGGTTTCAGGATACACAGACGCCGGATAGTTGACAGTTGATCTTTCACTGCCAGAAAAGCGTTGGCAATGAAGACAGTTGCAGCTTAGTAGATCGAATAAAGTTATTGTTTTCTAGCAAAATGTACCGATGTTCCGAGTGAGAGACGGGGACGACGACCACAACACAAACTCGCCCAAATTTAGTAGCCATCTATCGCTTAAAGACATCATCAACATGCCTGTATTAAATATAGTTGGCATTTATAGGCATTGTTATATATGTAATAATTAATGCAGGAGAGAGTACCACTCTACGTAGATGGCCACGATCGGAGCAAAGTATAGTGTACAGCATTCAGTTACGGTCAAATGGTCACTAATCACACTGCACACGTTTGAACGAACCATGAGGTTGATCAACTCATTGAGCAGGATTGAATGGTTAACGCCTCGGAAAGCTTTCTTATGGTCTAAAGACTGAATCCGTACGGCTTTACATGCGTATGCAGTACAGATGCTACCGGAAGTACAGGATACTACACGGTATCCAGGGTAGAGCATTTGGGTAACTAGGCTAATTGGCTTAAATCATCTGCTGGTCGAGCGTGAAAATCCGAGGTACAGATAGTTTCTTGAAGGCTTTTTACATCACCGGCGTACTTTCAATCGGAATGTGTCGACTGTAACTCACTGGCTGAATTGGGCGATGAGTATAACGATAATTAATACGCACGCTCCTCTGCAACAGGTTGTGATAGAGCGTAATATCTGGTAGTCTTAGTTTTCTTCTATATTTTGAGTACATTAGTAACCTCCATGCAATCATTAGTGACTGCGGAAACATCAAGCTTCAAGTTTTCCCCAATTTGCTTTACCAAGTCGCTTAGGGAACTCCTACAGTATGGCTGAATTATATGCCTCTGAAGGCAGCATTAATTGTGATTAGCTTACGGTACTAACGCCTTAACAATTCAGTTGCATTATCTCTGATTTCACTGTTAAAGGGAGTTGCCTAGCTGGGGCTCATTAGTAAGACCGTCAATGAATACTAAGAACAAACGTGGTTTCACTTCTGATCGGTCGGCCTCATCACACCTGGCTTCAATCTGTTCGGATATGGATCTGCGGACTTTCACATTCAGCCGCCGCTTAATGTAGAAGATGCTTCTCCAAGCTAGTGAGCGGGGTGGGTCATCGATTTCATAGATTCGAAATTGTGAAGAAGAATGTGGTGGCCCAGATAAATGAATGGTCTATTGAAGTCAAAATATAATACGTCGAATGCCTGTCTGGCATTGACTGAATTTGCTTAGCTTGCTTGAGCTAGTAATACGTTTGTGGCGCAGGATGGATTTCGGCGGAATCCATGCTGCTGTGACACTATGATCTTGTTGTTCGCAAATTATCCCATGAATGCCACCGCGTTTACACCTTCCATAACTTTTGATGACACTGAAAAAAGGACGATTTGACGGTATTCAGTAGGCACCACATAATTTCACCATTGCAAATGTTTCCACATGTTTGGAACCCGCAATTCCTCAATACCCTTTTGAACGAACCGAGATAATGGTTCAGCGTAGTTTTGGAAACTGTTTTGAACGCCTTCGGTCTTTTGTTATCCACACCAGGATAGCTGTGGTTGTGCAGGAACAGTATCATTTCCATTGCATTTGCATCATAGAATAATACTGGGGGCGAAGTGAGGTGACGATGCACATTGAAAATCGCGAGCAAACTGTTGTCGATGCATTTTCGTCGCATCTTGTGTAGTGAGTGCTAGAATATATACTGCATTTAGAGCTGGGATTCCGCGCTGCCCTCGCAGGGGCTTCTTTCCTTGCTTGTAAGGCATCTTAGCATCTGAAGTGGATTTCGTTGCTTGTCCTGTTAGTGTCTGTGTTTGTCTTTGCAGACCGCTTTGACTCTGTTTTCGATTAGTTATGTAGACATCCCGGGCCTGCGCACTAAGACAGGCTTCATAATAGCACAAGGCGGAATCGCTTAGAGGCATGCATTTTGTATCCGGGCTTTTCAGGATAGACTTCGTTGGCTTCGGGCGAAATAATTCGGTTTCAGGTACATTTGTACCTAGTCCGATGAACAGGATGACCAATTCTTTCCAAATGACGTCGTGAAGATACAGGGCTGGAAAAGACAAATGAGTTTGTTGGACAAGTTCAGGAAGGCGACCTTAGCACATTTCATATGTAAGCACTACCAAATAGAATCGACAACCTGCGTATTTGGCTTGTCGAAGATATGAAGATGGATTCAATTCGGTAACACCGCAGCGCTCCACCTTCACTGCTGGGTCCATCGCTCCGTAGGAGAGTAATGCCGGATAGGGCTATCTCAGCATCAATGATATCTGTAGTCAGGTATTTTTTATGCGTCTAGCAAGGTGGATTTTCAGCTGTTACACCCAGTTTGAATTTTGTAAATAGAATACACCAGATATTAATAAGAGAGAAACACTTAAAAATTGTCACTGTAAATCTGCTGGCAACTTCCACAACGACTGACGTCTGCTGGCACAAAAATTCGTCAAATATAGGATTATGGATAATTCTCAAGCCGCGGTGTGGGCGTAAAATGATCTGTACCTTTGCCTGCTTGAGCAATTTGATATAGACTCGGATCGT